ACTTTATTTTAGCTGGAATTAATTTTGCTGAAAAGACTTTTTGGGTGTTTTGTATTTAACTTATTTTCACTGATTTTTGACGAGTTGCATGTAAAATATAGGAAAAAAGGTATATTCGCTGGATTTTATTTTCACTGAATCATACCTTCAGGAAAAATAGCGAAAATTAATTCCAAGCGAAAATAAAGTATTTCACAGTATTTAATTTAACAAACTGTTATTTACATACCTTGTTGCTCGATCACACATAACTGGTTTGGGTTTAATATGTTTAGCAGGGCTTAATTCTTTGTCAGATTTACTTTTAGCCTTGCCATTACTAAGCGGTTCAGGCACACCGGATACATCTAAAGCTTGAGTTGTCTCACCCTGGCTATTCCGCCGTGTCATCTGTCTTGTTACTCTCCTTACAGGAGTCTCCCTTTCTTTGGTTTTACTTTCACCCGTGGATGGATCAAGACTTTCCTCCAATTGTTTTTCTGCTGGGCTACTTGTTGATGACCTCTGACTGCTTGTTCTCTTTCCTGATGTGCTCCCTCCCTTTGAATCTATCGAACTAGAAGGGGAAATGTTGTCTTTTTCTTCAGTACTACCACCGCTACCTGCTTCATTTGACACCCCCTCACTTGCAACAACATTCATACAAGTCTTGTCTTCTTGGTCATTGTCCTTGGTAGAATCCGAAACTTGTGGTGTCTCTTCCCAATTATTAATTGTCGCCTCATCACTCTGCTCCATGGCAACCTCTTTATCTCCATCTTTCTCACTTTTTTGCTCCATGTCAACGTCTTTATCTCCATCCTTCTCACTTTTTGGTTCTTCCACCACCACGTCTCTGATTATGTCTCTATCCCTGGCTTCTCGAGCAGCTTTTTTAGCAGCATTCGTCTCCTCTTCAATCTGCTGACTAACAGCCTGGCAAGATTGGTTGCTTGTATTTTCAGGGATCTGAATTCCATTTTTATCATTTGTGTCATCAACTTCCATGTCGACTGACTCATGTTCAGTATTCACACTACTCTCCGGTGCTTGGCTTGATCCGGCTTGGCTGTTGTCTGCTGCTGATGAAGTTGAGGGAGCAGCATCAGGTTTACTTTCCTGTTGTTTATCATCAGATTCACCAGGCTTTTTCTGTTCATCTGCTTTTCCTGGTTCTTCTGCTTGCACGGGTGGTGCTCCATCCTGTACTTGTTGTTGGTTATCATCTGCATTATCATCTAAAATATAATTGTTAATAATTAACTGTACAGTCTGGTTTTACTGATTATCGTAGTTATTCTAATTTAGGCATCAGGCTAGAGTTTGGTATTTCCAAAAGATTTTAAAGCGAGAGGGTCGTTACCTGTGCACACGCGGGAATTGGGTCCCAAGCGACGATAACAACACACGCTAAAAACACAAAAGCTCATAGGTAGATGCTTGTTTGTAAACAATGACACGCTATGGCCATCTGACGCATGCGGAGGTGACGACTCCCACGCTTTAATGTAACGTGCATTGGTTTTAACTTTGTTGGTAATGACAAGAATAGAACAAGTTTTAAATAAAAACAAACATAAACACAATGATCACTTTAGTGCAATCCATTGTCAATGGGTCCAATTCCTCTAAGGTAATCTGCTAGCATCACATCACATTACTATACTCTGCTTGATATGTATGTATGTAATCACAGTCTGCTGGCGTAAAGTAATAATAAAAGAAATTCGATTAATCTACTGCTATTTACTATATGGGGGCAGCCATCTTGATTATGCCTTGAAACTAAATAAAAACCTATGTGTTTTCTACCAATCAGAAACAAATACCAAATATTCACAGAAAAATGATCTGTTTGGACAACATTAAGCCATCTGCTAACAAAATTCGACCGATGTGGGGAAAATCCCTTGCATACAAATATCTAATTATTTTACTGGTTTTTTGAAACCAAAATCATCATTCAATTCAGGAGCTAATAAGCAAAGGTCTTACAGTAAGCTGACAATTTTTATTTTTTAAATCATTATTGCCGTGTGGTGAGGTGTTTGTCTGTTACAGTAGCAAGAAATTAGTGATGAGTTTGAATTCTGTGTTGCGTGTTTATATGTTTATAATATGCCTGTACTACTAAGAAAATAACAGAACTAGTGTATTTTTCTAGACCACAGAAAATCATTTTGATGCATTTATCATGTATGAACTGTTGCAGTACTATTAAATCACAGGTAAATATTTTAAAAAAAAATTGAAATAAGCAAATACACAAAAATCATAACAATTTAGGTCAATTCGTGTTAAGTAAAAAATCTTTCCAAAAATAAATAAAATCATATTTCAAATCTTTACTAGAATATAACCTAATGTGACAAAATCCTTGAGCAAAATCTGGTAAATAAACTTGTCAAAATTCCTAGGATTTCATCTC